GCAGTTCTGTGCCCACTGTGAAGTTGTGATAGGCTTATAACTCACAGAAATTAAATGGAAAAAACAGTTATTCTGTTCCCCATTCAACATACAATTCCTAATCAAACATTCTTGCATAGTCACTTTATTTTAAAATTATTGCATCCTACCATCCCTTTAGCTATGTGTTGTAGTGGGTAGAGTGATGACCTAGGACTCAGAAGACTTGGGTTCAAATCCCTGCTCAACTCACTGGGCAGGCAGAACTGAGAAAACCACTTCTTAAATATCCAGCCTCACAGCAGAGAGATATGACTATACGTATTTCCAAGTATTCATCAGATTCATTCTCCTCTTCATGTCATAAAAAAAGGTAAGAGGCCAAAGGTAGTTAGCTGGCTGTCTCCAAGAAGGACAAGACCAGTGATTAAAAATTTGGCAGTCCTCTCCTAATGTTGTATTTTCATTTGGTGGCATATTACCTGAAAGCCACCATGGACAGATCTGCCCTCCATGAATGCCTCTAATCCCCTTTTGAAAACCATCTGAGCTTCTGATCATTATGGAGCCTCTATCACTATGGGATTTTGTGGCATTAATCTCCTAAAGTAATACCAGGCATGTTTGAGGATTTCCTATGGTATGCATTTAGTATGTATCTAATCTATACAATCATAACCATTTGATTTTACTTTATCCCCCATGGCTCCATTCTACAGATTCCTGAGTGTTGTAAGCTGATGAGACATATGGACTTCACTGACACAGCGATGGGCTCTAGTCTCCATGCTTATCTACAGCACATCACCAAACTGCTGACCCCAGGATTTTATAGGATGAATTAATGGCAGTTAAACCAGAATGAAATTGCTACAAATGGTTAATAATAAATTGTGTGAATAAGCATTTTCTTTTGTTTGTATGCCTTGAATCTCCTGCCAATCAATTTTACTGAGTGACTCTGAATTCTAGTATTATGAGAGACTGAAACAAAAGGTCTTTCTATCCTCGCCCCAATATTTTAAAATCTGATAAACCTCTGTCATACATCTATTAAACAAATCTTGGCCTAAATCTTCATGTGTAGTTACGAAAACAGTGCAACTTTTGGAGGCAAATTGCCCCATGTTGAAAAATCACTGTTGTATACTGTTGTATACTGTTGTATACTCAGTTGTATACTGAGTCATAAGATAGGCGGGGCAAGAGATAACGTCTACAGTGAACTTAATGCAATTCACTTTCAAAAATTATGCCATTGGTGTTACACAAGTGTCACCAGCTAAGAGGACTTACTCTTTCCTACAGTAAAAGCTTTCACATACTATAGCTCTTATACAAAACAAACAAGAAACAAAATTTTTAAAAAATACTGCATCTGTTTTGGTAATAAAGAGAACAAGCACTAGATGTTACGTATCATATGATTAAACCAAGCATTACTTGTACTTAAGCCACACAAAGTCAAAATGTGAAGGGAATTTCTGGAATAAATATGCATTACTTTGATACTGTAGTTTTCTTTAAAAATTACAATCTTATACCCACATAGCTACATGCAGACAAAAGTGAACTCATCCCATGTAGAAAGGAGAAGGCCAAGAATAAGTTAATTTTAACCAGTTTTGTATACAAAACACACCAAATTCAAATGCAACACATGGCATTGTGCTTGTCAATTTGATATCTCTTATGTCAGAACCATAAGAGACATAGTTCTATGTCCTCTTTATCCTAGGCACCTATATTTATATTTTGCCTTTCTTCTATAAAACAGCATACATGGTTTCATTTCATTTTGCCTTGCTCCCATTTTTATCCTCACAATAAACTACATGGCATACCAAGCTGGGAGATAATTGGTTAAAGGTTATGTGGGGATTTGAATCTCTGTCTCCCACTTTGATACCATCACAAGGGGTTCCTTTACAAACTGCCTAGAGTGGTCTTAATTGACTAGATAGGCGGGATATAAAATAAATAAATAAATAAATAAAATAAACAGCTGTATCTAAATTTTCATGGGGACTATTTATCTTCATGGCATTCTCACATTTTAAAGGATGGCAGCTCAGAAGAACAAACATACTTTTCAGTTATTTAGACTGGTCATGAAAGAGAATGTATCATTGTTTACATAGACAGCACAGGAACACAGGACGGCAAGTTACACCCAGTTATACCACTTGTCCATCTAGGTTAATACTCTCTCCACTGTCTGGCAGGGTTTCAAGCAGGGATCTTTCCCAACACTACAAAGGACAGTAGCTGGCAAATGAACCTGGGACTTGATGTATTAAAAGCACATGCTCTGCCATTGAGTTATTGCTCTTTACCACTGCTACACATGATGTTCATCATTATGAGGCACTAGATTGCATTTCTGATTAAAAGGTTATTAAAATAGCATAATATACTGTACTAGTAATATTTTCCAGAAGGCTGGGAAGAAAGTCAATTTTCATTGTCGAACAATTCCATATATGGCAGATAATTTTTGTTAGTGCACTGTAGCTTGAGTGTTTTACTGCTCAGATTTCTGAACAATCATTACAATGCACTGAAGGTACACTGGCCATTTAGATACTGGAAGCTTCAGGCTGCACATATTTTCTCTCTTCCAAGAAAGCTCTGAAGGAAAGGCCACATTTGTTTTGCCTAAAGGAACACCCAGGCCTCTAACTCCATCCCAGTTGCGGGTGTTTGAATGCAGGGGTTTGTTGTTACACTAAAACATTTAATCAAAGCTTTCTGAAGTGGTAGAGTAGAAACAGCTGTATTTGACAAGGTGCTGAATATATAGGGCTTAAAGCTGTCAAATAACTATAGTGCATAAGCAAGGCCAACAGAAGACCATGAAAGTCAAGGCTTGCAGGTCATGGAATCTTCATAAGGAATGCATGAAGGTTGTGGGATAAAAAAACAACAACCCATGAGCTGGTGAGCTTTTATTTAATATTCCAGAAGCTAGACTTCAAAGTGTCCTCCTTTTTAAAGAGCAGATGTGGGGATAACTTCAGCAGCCTTCTCTTGAGGCAAATGTGTGTTGTTTGGGTATAAAGTCTTTCTTTCAAACATTAAAATACTGATCCGAAATGCTGCATCTTTACTGAAATACTGTGCTTTCCAACACAGGCAGGATTTAATTTGAAAGTACAACTCATGCTTTTGAAAATGTTATTGGAAGAAAGAGAATTCAATTTCCATACCACAAAACTAGCCAAACCTGCACTTTTAAAGTGTTTAATAAACCTGGTTTTTGAACACAGCAGTACTAATGATAACCCCTCAAGAGATGAATGCTTTGAGGAATACCACTGACTAAGTACTTGAAATTCCTCAATAAGTTTGGTTTGGAGATACAATTACAGAGAATTAATACTTTTTATGGATAATTGTTCAAACTATAAGATTCTATTAGCTAAAAGCTGCCATGAATGAGCTGAATCTCCAAGTTTTGCTCTGAAAAGCTTCAGTGAGGATTGGAATTTGGAGATACCAAAACATCAACTTCAGTGCATGTTCATTTCAAGGGGGAAATTTAAAAACATTTTGCCTTATGCTTCCAAGAATTGTAGTGGAGATGCTTACTGAGCAGTGAGGCATAGACTGAAACTCGTAACTTTGCTTATGCAACAGGATTTTCGTCAATGACTATGTATATCCATTTGGAGGTCATTGAAACATTATTCAGAATGGACCTGCACCATGTAAACATAACAAACATCTGCACCCAGTCATGCACATAATACAGTCAGAGCTGCCAATCATAGCTATTAATATGACAAGTGCATTAAAAACATGTTTCATTCACAAAACACATTTAGATTTAGAACAACTTACTTGAACAATGAAATATAAAAAATAAAGTAACTTTAGGTAAAATCTGTAATATTTAACAACCTATACAAGTTCCAAACATTTCTTGCACTACTGTAGTAAGTAAGCTGGGAAGAAAACACATTTTCATCTTTCCACACACCCCTCCCCACTTTAACCAGAAGGTGAGAAAGATTTGCTTGAATGTGTGAACAGCAACATTGTAGACCAGCAATACCCTATTCTTGGAATGTTGTTTTTTTAAAAGATCTTTTCACACCATGAATTTTCTCTTCATCTCTTGTTATCCTTCCAGCAATATTTCCATCAAAACAAAATGCTTGATACTATCTGGGAGGTTTAGATTCAGGGAACACTAAGGGCATTCAAGAAATACTAACAGCTAAATGGACCATAATAAGACCATCCTCCATTTTGTGGAGTTCATTCGTTCTGAAAGATGAATCATTCCCTCTGTCGTTCTTCAAGTGGTGAATGCCACTGCTTAAGCAGCACACTTTATGTAGCCTTACTTTTGCAGTAAGACACATAGGTTTATAAAAAGAGAATACAGGTTTCATCAGCATGTTAATGTTGCAGATATTTCAACCACATATGCTGCTTTCATTAGGTTTGGCTGGCAGGGACTTTTCTAGGCTGGGGTGTCTTGTCAATTAATGCGCCAGTAACCAACAGTTCCTTCCCTGCCTTGGATTTTCAAGAGAGTCATACCTCTCTACTTAAGTCTCTTTTCCTCTCTCTTTTAGACTGCTGCACTTAGTATACAGTTTGTAGTTAGTGTGCAGTTATGTCTGAATGCAGTCTGCAGTGAGTCTCTTGAGACCTATTACTATAATTTTTGTATAATAAGCTGTTTTTGATCTGTTCAGAACTGTGAGTAAAGGAAACCTTTTATTCCTTCTCTTACCAATATCTCAGAGTGAGTTATTGAGACTATTAAGTGCTGGCTAATGAGAAAGGGTAGTGTACTCTAAGAAGACTGGTAACTATTTCTGCTCTGTAAGTCTCTGTGTGTCTGCTGCACAGGTACAGTTTTGCCAAAGTTCAAAAGTCTGCAACTGTTTATAACATGAACTGTTGCAACCCATGTTCACAGATCAAACATTGTAGATATTAAAACCTTCTCAGAATACCACACATTCCTGTACAGTTATCATTGCACTCCAAAAGAAAACACTTACATTAGGTCTCAGGTCAGCTGCCCTTTTGTAGTACTTCTCAGCTGCTTCATTGAGGCTAGCTTGTCTTTTGGAACAGAAGTGGGGGAAAGGCAAGTTTAGTGGAATTCACATTGACAATTCAAAATTATGCAGATGAAAAAATGAAAGGGTATTTGCTTTTCTGAATTATCATAATCATGAAAAAAAGAATGACTAGTGACTAGGAGGGCTTGAATTCAAGATTATTCCAGTATGCTCAAGCCACACCCTGATCCACTCTTTAGCACCTCTTTCGAATGACGAAAGTTAGGTGATTCAGAACATTCCAAGGAGCCTACAAAGAGATATGCAAATTCTGATCCCTTCCTCTGTGTCTGCAGCTCTCTCTCCAATCAGACCTGATATTTCTTATGACTCCCAGAAGACCCTAAATCTTATTATTAAAAGTATCTTTTAAAATGGACATATTTTTCACACAAGCCAGAGATGCTTCCTGATTCTAAAGACAGATTAAGGTGAGCTCAAAAAATTCTCATAAGCTAGTTCATGTTAAATACCTCCATTTATTCATCACAGTGATTAGAAGTTGCTTAAAAACAATGATTTCACATATTTCATTGAAAAAAAAATCTTGTTTTCCCCCCAGCAATACGTTGTAAAACTCACACTATCTCACAAAGAACCCTAAAACTTGATGATGGTCAAGAAAGAGGAAACAGATCAACTAACTGAATAATTGTAAGATGCAGCAAATTCTCAAGCAATCTTTTTGCAATGCATTGAAATGAAAGGGATTTTTGTTTATCTTCACAAACAGAATCTTTTGGTTTTGAGGTGCTAGGGCACATCATGGTTGAGCAATCAGGCATGACTAAGACATACCCTAGCAACTCATCAGCTAGTCATAATTACCTGCAGCAACTTACACCAATGGGTTTCTGGCCATAGGGTTGGAAATCAGATTTAGTTATAGCTAGAATTCCATTAAAATCCAGTAAAATCAATTGGACCTAATTTAGTCATAATTATCCCACTGGTTCTTGTAGGTCTCATAGGAGATTTTCAACCTGCACCATGAAGCATTATAGTGCTTAAAAAGGAGGCAAATATTCACAATATACTTTGTTTTTAAAAAAAGGAAAGGAATGGGTGGGAGATTTCTGCTGCCAGTGCAGCAGCAATTTTGGTGGCATGCCCACAATTTTGGTGGCAAGGTAGCAGCCATGCAGTGAAAGGCTTCTTTCAGATTTAAAAGGAGCCAATGCAGTTCCCCAGTCCTGGACACTACTCATCTTTGCAAGGTGAACCATGTTAACAAAAATGTGACCAGCATTGTTAGTAATATTAAAAGCAGTGCATGAAAAGACAGGAAGCATGATATTCACTTATTGTCGGCATTTTACACGTGAAGGACACCAAACAAGAGCTCAAAAGAAAGGGACGCTAAAATTATGTCCAGGGTGTTGTTTGGAATGTCTCAAATGATTTTTCAGTCAAGGTCACCTTAATTACTTAGGCACTACAGCAGTTCTCAGGTAATGCTACTGAGTAGCCTTACTGAGGCCAAGGGCAGATGATGGTAAGAGACGAGAGTCCTAGTCCACTTGAATAAGGAACCATTAAGGGGAGCTCTGCAAGCTACTGGACCAGAGTGGGTTTGTCAACCTCAGCAACTTGTTGTTCCTTTACCTATGCAGACCACTTTAGATTCTTTTCTGTACAAATCACTGGCCTGTCAGCTATCCATACTTCCAACACCCACTTGACAGTTTTTAAACTTGATGTGGCCCAGAACCCTGGCATCTCGTTATAAGCCCCTCTTGGTACTGACTTTATTTAGTACTAATACTGTTACCGGCCAGTGAAATAGCACAGTATTTTTGAGCTAAACAAAGAATGCAAAAGGAATATTATCTTTACATGAAAACAACCTACCTGACATTGTATGGAAAGCAGTCATTCTTTTGGGAAACAAATATTAGCATGCCATTTTACATAAAAGAATACAGATCAATAAAGAATTTTTAAAAAATTAACAAAGAAAAAACACTGACCTTAGCATATGCGCTGCATTGAACACAACGTCAAATTCTGTGTTATCCAGCTCAGCTGCTTTCTTTGCCATCTCTGCTGCTTCTATCAGACGAGATTCTTCCAGAAGAAATTGGCCTGAAATACATGGAGGACTGGTATGACCTTATAAGCTTGAAAAGGACAGGATCCTTTTCCCTGGGATTATAAAAAAAATGAGCAAAAGGCTGTGTGTGTTGGACTGATTTGCCTTAGCCTAGGTAAAATATATTGTTGTGCTACCACTGCTGAACTACGATAACTACTGGTCCTGCTGGCTTCTGTACTTAGAATGGTGGATGATATTTTACTGTTCACTTCAGGCATCAAAACGTTTTGGGCTGCTATAGTAGCAGAGTTCATCAATAATGATGATCAGAAGTTAAAAGATTGTTCAACCTGGGGAAAAGTTTATAACTTATAAGGGCTAATTACATTGACCAGTAAAGTGCAGGGAATTTAACAGAGTCTTTTGAAACAGGTCTATGTCTTAGAGGGTGGCAGAAGAAATCTCCCACTCTTCCCCTCTCCATACTACCTCTGTTCTTTAGCTGGAAGCAAATGTAACAATTTGAATGAAACACACACTGTTTGCTGTATAAATAAATAAAGCATCAGATGTTTTTTGTTCTGCAATTTGTGGAGATGTCAGCACAAAGATCTAATCAGTAGTCTGATGCAAACAAACTAGAGCCTGTTTATGGATGATAGACCCTACAGTAACACCATATCTATGATATGCAAAGATTATTGTGAAAAAATGAAAACAGCTTTAGAGTTGGATCCAATTGTGAATCTCTACTCCTGAAAAAGTTCTCTGATCAAGTGGAAGACATGATGCTTTCCCCCCACATTCCTTTCCCCCTTCTTTGTCTTCTCCCCTCACTGCCAGCTCAAAAATGCTGTAATGGAGACATTCTGGAGCAGCAGGTGTGGTGGATTACCAAAGAAATAGGATATTTGTAAAGATACCCCCCTCACTTCTCCTCAAGAATGCTTCTGGAAGAGCAAAGAGATTTCCAAAAATGGAGGACAGGCACAGTTGGGTGCAATCCTTAATTGTTAATTGACCATGAAACAAAAGGCAAGTCTTGGAATAACAGAACAAAATACTAATATTTGTTGACAAGTTACTTCAGAGCATAGCCAATGATTATTCCCAATAGTGACTATTTATTTGAAGTACTGTACTTTGAAGCAGTAAAAATAAGGAGGGAAAATGTTAATGCCAAAAAAAAAAAAAATACTTCCAGCACTCCAGGATCTCTATGATCCAGTTCTACTTACAATAATAGACTGATACATATGAATTATTAACTGCATGCTACATTAACCAGACTGAACTAAGAACAAAAATAAAAAACATTAACCAACAAAAACTCTGCAGGTTCAGCTACAAAGAACAGTGCATGACACAATCTGTTGTAAATTGCATCAAGTAAGTGCATAATTACAGTAATTTAATGTGAATAATCAAATTTATTATAACAGAATCATTAAGTGATTTACAATTATTATAAAAATGTATTATTCAGAGGAAATTAACTTAAAGTCTCAGTGCTTATTCATAAAAGGCATGTTATTTCACAGAACATATTTGTTGTTTTATGCCTATTATAATAAAAATGAATTATTTTTCTATACACATTGGTTTGATTTTTGAAAACGTTCTTGCCTAACTTGATCCTACTTTAAGACATCACACACAGTTATTTCTTGTGCAACAGAGCATAGTTTTTTTCCAGTCTGAGCCATGTCCAACACTAAACATGTGAACTATTAGGAAGTGTAGTTGGACACACAGAAAAATAAAAAATAAAAAGTAGGCTTGTGTTACATGACTTTTACTTTCTCATTTGATCAGAATATTTCATATCACAGGAAATTTTTGCATGTTGCCATAAGTGAATTGGCACAGGCCTAGACTGCCTCTATTTTTAATTTTTTGCTACATTTTAGGGAAATGAATGGCACTTCTTGTGTAATTCTGATTTTTCCTGTATTTAACCTGGTTTGTCTGTAGTTTTATTTATTCAAAATGTGGAGCACAAGACAAAATTCATGTCTTTTGGTAACAACACTATATTTACAAGTCATTTCTATGTCTCTACAAAGTGATACAAAGGAAAGAATGGCCAAGTGACAATTACAAAAATATGATGAGAAGATGTTCTAACACAAATTTACATATAAAATGTATAATGCGTACTGCCTTGATGAATTCTAAGTTATAAACATCAGTTCTTGGTTTCTCAATGAGTCGCACTATTGCTAGGGCTACTGGCATCAGTCTTATCACCACTTCATGTGCCAAGAGTTTGAGATTTACACAAGTAATATGCATAGAATTCCTAGGAATAGAAGTATGGATGTGTAAGGGCTAGAACTGCATAAGTGACAACTTGCTAAAGCAGCTTCATGAGGAACCGAGATGAAATGTCAGACACCCCTTTGCTAATGATAATTAATATAGAGTCAAACTATTCCTACATCTTGCTAGCTTGCATTGAGGAAGAACAGCAAAAAGGAAGGTTTAAGGTTGGTTACAAGACATACATTACATCTAATCAATACATTTGATTGGAAGACATTCTGTACATGTAGACTTTGTCTAGGGGGCGGGGTAAAAATCTAATAAAAGTAAAAGTAAGTAAAAGTAAAAGTAATGTATATGTTCTGTACTCTATATTACATAGAGAATGCCCTGGAGAAACTTATATTTTGCCTGGATGTGGACTGTGATGCGTAGGAACGTAGTCTCCCCAAGGTGGACACACTCCCCTTTCTTCTTCCAGAAGAGCTGTGTAGAGACATGAAACTCCCTTTCTTTCTTGATTAACTGCAGCTTAGTATGGTATATCCTCATGCTCAGAAACTCAGCAGGATCCCAAGGAGGACTCAAGAGTCTGATGTGTCACTAACGTTCTGCTTCAGAGAATTCTCAGAAACCTTTTGAATTCTTTCTACTCCTGAGGATGTAGCCCTTCCCACAAGTTGATGTCCAAAGGAGCATGAAATTACAGTAATAGTCACAGGCCCTTTAAGAGCTACAGTGAGTATCCAGTGGAAATGAAGCCTCTGAATGTTCTGGTCCTGCAAGTTTCCTAACAGGGAATATTGCAGTCATAGGCCTAAATCCAACTGCAAATCCCAACTGGAGTACATCAATTAAATCAAATTGCTGAATATTAAGTCAACACTTATGGCAATCTCATTGATTTAATGGGTATTCCCAATTCAGTCTGGAATCCTCTGAAGTATGTAGATTCTTGACAGTTCTCTCCCATGCTATGATTCTGCTTCACTAGGCCTGGCTGTGCTTTGCTAGATATGAAACAGTTAAAGTGGACTTGGCCTCATCTCTACAACTATCTGTGAGAGTTTGGGCCAAAGGTTCCTTCCCCAGCATCTAACATGCACAAGACAGTGTGCTGCCTGAATGCTAATTATGGTTTATCAAAATGTAAGGTCCATAATCCATGGTTTGAAGTTGTTTTTATTTTTATTTTTATCAAGAAGACAACATTACAGACTACAGTTCATCAAAAATCAATCCAATCATTTTTTATTTCTCACAGCATTTTGGAGGAGGAAAAGCAAAGCCTGTGTGAGCCACAGGGATGAGAGAGGTGGACCTAAGATTTATCCCTACCATGATAAACTGCATTTTTTCATGGTATCCAAATACAGCTAATGTCTCTTTTAGCAATGCAAACATTTTTTTGTTCCCACCCCCTCTCAACTTATATGTTATTTATTTATTTTGCTTTCCACGGGCTTCCATTCCACTGTCATCTCTGCACTATCAGTATATTTTCAAAATCTTTCACTGGCTCCATCTTTTGAGGCTTTTTATGCTGTTCCTTATTGGGCAGTCAGATGATAAGGGCTGCAACTTCACAAATTTTGAATGCAAAATGTTCCTGATCCAATTACTGACAGGTAGGATGGCGAGAGACGCCTGAAATCCTTCAGAGCCATTGCCAGTCAATCTACAGCAGGCACGGTCAACATGAGCACCCCCGGGTTATTTTTGTTTTTTAATTTGAGAGCTCAGAACATCTCCTTGTACCCTCTAGAGCAGTGGTGTCGAACTGTGGCCCTCCAGATGTTCTTGGACTTCAACTCCCAGAAGCCTTCACCACCACCTCTGCTGGCCAGGATTTCTGGGAGTTGAAGGCCAAGAACATCTGGAG